TTCTGGTCTCAACCAAGACAATTTTGTGAGGTTTATGCTAAATGTGGAGCATTTGGAGTTTGTAATGAAGCGAATGCAACCTGCAATTGTTTGAATGGTTTCAAACCAAGATCAGATACAGAATGGAATTCAAAGGACTATTCCAGTGGCTGTGTAAGAGACCAAAAGGTGCAGTGTAATGCAATTACTGAAGACAAAGATAGTTTATGGATAACTTCTAGTATAAGACTACCCACTTCTCAAAATACTAATATCACAGCTGGGAAAGCCTCACAGTGTAGATCTGCATGTTTCAACGATTGCTCTTGCACTGCTTATACTTATGATGGTTCCGCTACCTGTTCTATTTGGACAGGGGATCTGTTCAATCTGCAACAACTCAGCACAGCTGAATCAGAAAGGACTATATTTGTCAAACGTGGCTCACCTCAAGGTTAGTATAACATAGTTTGATTCTTTATCTCATATTAGTACTATGTTATGGATAGAATTCCTTATAAACCTTAGCACTTAACAACAATGATTCGCCTTTCAGCTCAAACTAAAACTAAGAGATCGAAGAAGCTAAAAGCAATCCTTTCGTCAATATCGGCTTTGATGTTTCTACTCATAAGCAGCAGCATTAGCTACATTTACTATAGAAGAAGAATGGCAATAAAAGCAGGTATTTGCTGAATGAATCTAGCTTTAGGAAGATATTTTCTCTTATACCATTTTGGACTTGATTCATTCTCAATCCAATTGAGGTAATGAAATCCCTCCTTTTCTATTCCAGATAGAAGTAAAGGGGCATATAAATCTCAGCGGCACAAAGCTGAAGGAGAAGCAAAAGTATTGATGAATGAAAACAGTGATGAAGCGATTGATGTTCCTTACTTTCACTTGGAGACCATTTTGGCTGCTACAGACAACTTCTCAACTGCAAATAAGCTCGGACAAGGAGGGTTCGGTCCAGTTTACAAGGTTAAAACTTCATTCCTACATCTATGTGGACTGGCATGGCCTCATTGACCTAATGAGATGAAATTCTTTTGCAGGGTATCTTTCCAGGTGAAAAAGAAATTGCAGTGAAAACATTATCCAGTCAATCAGGACAAGGCATAGATGAATTTAAGAATGAGGTGACTCTAATTGCAAAGCTTCAACATCGAAATCTGGTGAGGCTATTGGGCTATTGCATCAATGCAGCGGAACAAATATTACTTTATGAATATATGCCGAATAAAAGTTTAGATACATTCCTATTTGGTGAGTTAGCCTTATTAAGTTCCTTATTCTCAAAGTCATATGTTTCTTATAATGATCTAATTGTTTTATTGACATACCAAACTTTTTCCAATGATTCAAGATGGAACACTTTGTCAATTATTGGATTGGAAGAGACGTTATGACATCATATTGGGCATTGCACGGGGTCTATCTTATCTTCACCACGATTCACGACTAAGGATCATTCATAGAGATTTAAAAACCAGTAACATTTTATTAGATGAGGAGATGAACCCGAAGATTTCAGATTTTGGCTTGGCAAGAATTGTTGAAGGAAAAGTAACAGAAGCAAATACAAAGAAAGTAGTGGGGACCTAGTAAGTATAATATCAAATAATTTCTTACAAAAGGAGCTTTGGATAAAATCTTATACTCAAATGTTTTGTTCATCTCTAGCGGCTATATGTCTCCTGAATATGCACTGGATGGACTTTTTTCCATCAAATCAGACGTTTTCAGTTTCGGAGTAGTCATGCTTGAGATAATCAGTGGAAGAAGGAATACAGGATTTTATCAGTCGGAAGAAGCCTTAAACTTGTTGGGCTATGTAAGTGCAGAAACTTCCCATGACCTAATTACTATATCTTCTTCTTAGCTTTGTTTCTCTGATTGAAAAATGATCACAGGCATGGAAACTGTGGACAGAAAAAGCCGAGACACAATTAATAGAGAAGTCATTACTTGAATCATGCAACAGAAGTGAAGCACTAAAGTGCATAAACATTGCGCTTCTGTGTGTACAAGAAGATCCAAATCATCGTCCTACTATGTCAGATGTCATTTTAATGCTGGGAGGGGAAGGTAGTAACCTTCCAACACCTAATAGACCAGCTTTTGTAATAAGGACACATGCTTCTAGCACATCTT